AGGGAAAACATTGCCTCACATCTGCCTTTCAGTAGCCTCTCCTTTTCCTTTAATACATCTGAGACTAGTTAATGTCATGGGTAAGAAAAGGTGAAGGATGGGTGTGACCCACAACAGCAATTCCTGTTTTTCTGTACATTGGAGAAAATGTATTCACTGGAGGAACAGCTTATTCATTACACCGCTATATCCTTTATGCTCAAAGTATCGTCTCTTTAACTTACTGTGCACTACTTTCTGTTCTGAATATAAAATAACCACTTTCCTCACAACCATTTAAATGGCAACTGCCACCAAAGTATCTGAATGCTCCACAAAGATCACTGGATTTATTCCATAACAGCTTGTAAAGTGGGAAAACGCAGTATTCTCAGTTTGAAAGTGGTGGCTTTGGTGATATTTGGACACATACGGTCCCAGCAGCTCAAAGCAAAGCCCCCATGCAATAAACATTGCACTGGTCACGTGCAGCAGTGTAATACACAGAAACGAGCATGCATCACCACAGACACTGATAGCCCCCACGATGTGGTATATTTAAAAAATAAATCAAAAGCTTGCCCCTCAGATTTTATTTTTCCTTCTTGGAATCCACATTTACCAAAACTTGCATGCCTGTGCATACAAGTCCAGGCACAGCAGAACTCGCTCTGCCTTAGCAGAGCTGTTCCAACCTGTGTGTCAGGATACATCTGTATCAACATGAATACTACTACTCAACCAAGGAGCTGCACAGATGCCAAAGTTATTCATTCAATGAGTAGTGTGAACTATTTTTAAGATATGATATTTAGTGTTGAGGCAGTTCCAGGAGAGTAGGTGACACTACCACATAGTCACATGTTGGTGAGAGTGTGTTAAGGGAAAGGAAGGACTGTGGAAAGTTATGTAGCATCATAGGTACCAATTACTTCTGCCTGCAAGCAGCAGCCAACAGTGACACCCATCCCCAAGTTATGGGCTGACAGTTTACTCATCAGAAACTGAAGCCATTCCTGATCTTTAGCAGGCCCCATCCAGCTCAGGACAGACAAGAAAAACACCCGCCATCTCTTTAGGCAAATCTCTCAGGCGTGCTGAGGTTTGTACTTCTACAGAAGGCTGCCAGGGTTGTCTTTCAACCACACTGCTTTTCTCCCCCTGCTTTATTGACCCTGCCTGCCTTAAATATCCACCAAGGGTGTCCAAGCTGTAAAGTAAAGGATTCACTAGTGAGTCCCGGTAGTGCCGGAGGGGTGAAAACTTCCAAGACGTGCTGCATAAACCCACTGACCCTCTTTCTCCATGGTCCCACCTACAGATACGCCCCTTCCATGCTTCCATGCAGTAACCTGGGTTAAAGAGAGACTCTTCCCAAAATTTCCGATTCAGGAACTGAATCGCAAAGCAATATTCACAGCTCTGCTGCTTTCTCTCACTAGCTGGAGGAGCACTGACCTACCCTGCAGGTTTTTTTTTGCAGCCTTTCTGTCAACTCCGAAAGCTGCCCTATTACAGGCATGGCACCTTTCTCCTTGCATCTTTCCAGAAGGTTCCTAGGAAACGACCTTTCAGCAGTGCCAGAAAAAAAACGACCCCAACGCTCTCAAAAGCAAGACTCGAGCTTAGTACGAGAGTAAAACTTCACTCAACAACAAGGCCGTTGCTGAGAGAGAGGGAGAGAGAGAAAGAGAGAGAGAAACAGTTCTCAGTAGCCCCGAGCACAATAACCAAGCCCAAGCTAGCTAGGGCGGTGCTAGAAAGGGAAATCTCTTCCAACACAACGTGTGTTCAGTTCCCCTATTTACTTATTTATTTATTGGCATGATCGAGCGCGAACACTCAAAAACACCATCCCGAGGAGGCAGCGCTCGCAGCTGGGCAGCGGGGCTTTACCACCACGACACAAATCCCCGCCGCGCACACATACATACATACATACATACATACATACATATACACGCACACACACGCCGCCCCTGAGTCACCGCCGCCGTCCCGCAGAGGCCCGGCTCGCCACGTTAAAAACACCCGCGCCCCAGGAGGCTTTTTGTGCCTTTCCGTGCGCAGAGAGGCGGCACCGACCGCCCCGCAACGCGCCCCGTGACTCGGGGAGGTGGCACCCGGTGGCCCCGGGGGCGCAGCTTCCCTCCCCCGCGCTGCCGCATGGCGGTTGCGCCGCCGGTAACGGCCAAACCCCCCCGGGGGAACGGCCCCCCCCC